CCTTGCCACAACATGCTACGGAGCTTCAGAAAGGGCAAAGGAAAGCCCTAAGTTGTTTGAAGGGGACGGTTCGTCTGGCTGGAAATTCTGCTTCTTAGTTGTTTCTGTGCCAAGCCATGTTGCAGTGGCCTCCATCTAGCCCAGCATGACAAGCCTGGCCCTAACAGTGCTGCTGATCCCGTTTTCCTAGTCAATCTGGTAGGTAGGCACACAGGTCAACACTCAGTACACAGTTGAAAACGGGGTGGTAGGTGTGTTTTCCAAGCATCATCATGCATTGTGTCACACAGCTGGTGAGAGTGCCACAAGTGGGCTTCACGTCCAGCCCTGTCAAACAAAGACCCAGGTGAGCACAGGCCACCCTGCTTGTGGGCAATTGTAAGAGTACAGATTTCTTCACAAATGAAACATACAGAAACATAAACATATATATCATGTGTGTGCATGCATATATGTACATATAAGAAAAGGTTTGGACAACACAGGAAGAGCTGATCTTGTGTGCTGGCTGCAAAGGGACTCACCAAGTCTCAGGGTACACATACAACTCACTTTGCCACTGCTGTGAGCTTGGTTCCCTGCTGTTATTTTTATAAGGCCACAGCATTAACCTAATTAATTTACTTTAATTGGAGAACAGTATTAGCCTAAATGGTCCTACTTAAATCACAGAGAAGCTGCGCCCAAGCTCTTCAAACAGCCTCCTGTCCCCATTCACCCTCCTGCAGATGGTTAACACAGCTGAGTTCAGCACACCCAGGCTGCACCTTGGGACAACAGGCCTCCTCTCCTCACAGGATTTGTTTTCTGCTCTGAAGGGAAACACCTGCATGTCTCTAAACAGGATCGGCTCAGAGCAGAGAGAGATCTCAGCTCAGAAGTTATGGACTCCCCCACTGAGCCATGACCCAGATCTGGTGGGAGGACTAACTGGAGCTGGGAGCTCCAGCAAAGCAGAGGTCCTGAGGGACTTAAGCCAAGCTGACCATGCTCACAAAGTGCTTTGCTCGCAGCCCAGCTGGCGCCCCTGCCTGCTCCAGCAGTGGAGGGAGTGTTTGCACAGGGTGTTTTGGAAGCCACAGTGGTGAACAGTCCCACACTGATGCATGCCAAAGGCAGCAATGGGGCGCAGTTGCTACAGCAAGGAATGGCCTTCAGAAGTCCAAAGCTCAGCTCTCATTTCCCTGGTTTCTGCTGATGGTTTCCACAGTTTTTGGCAAACCCTTCCCCTATGCCAGCGTCTGGCATCCAAATGAGGCCAACATCCTTAGCCTCCTTTGTCAGCTACACTGGCAACTACAACTGAAAAGTACCCAATAAGATCTTCATGAATACCCCTAACCTTTCTTTCGGCTTCAGAGCTGTCCCCCTATCAAGGCTTATCATCACATTATGCCACAAAAACTGCCTTGTTTGGTCATTAACTCGGAGGCCCAGCTTGCAAGGAGAGATGAGGGGTGGGCGCTATTGAACTTAACCCAAACACATGCAAGGAGCCAGACTACAGCCCTAGGGGCAGCAGAAGCAGCTCTACACCCCGGCCAATTAGCTGACCACACACTGCAAAGCCTTATGCCAGCTTTCTGCTGTTCTACCTGCTGTACTTAATCTTTGGTGCAATAGGTGTCTGTACCCATAGCCTGCCTGCTACAAGGTCAATGCATCCCTCTCTATGCATTTATATACTTCTAAACAAGCTTGACCTGACAGAAGCCTACAGATCAGTGTTTGTGGAGCCACAGTGGCCACTGTGTTTTTGAACAGCATCTAGGGCCCCAAAGGTGGGTACACTGAGCAGTCAGGCTGTTTTGGAAGAAACATCACAGAGAAAAGCAAATCTGTATGGGAGATACAAGAGCAAAGGGCTTGGGGAAAACCAGCAAGTCCACCTTACAACCAAAGCAAAACAGGCCAAGGCACATTAACAATGAGCTGCAGCTGACAGAGCAGGGAGGATTTCAAGATAAGAGAGATGGCAGGAAGCCTAGAGATCAGAGCTTGGAGGGAAGAGCAGAAAAGGCCTCCTGGGAATGGATCTAAGTAGGCTTGCTATGGGAATTTAAGCTAGTATCTCTTGCAGGGCTTGGAAAGGGGGGTATAAGCAATAGCCTTGTGAGATGCTGTTTAAGACAGAGTGCTAGGAGTGCAGCAGAGAGACAGGAATTAGCTCAAGGAACTAGCAGGGGTGGGGAATGCACAAGTACCTGAGATAGTTTATAGAGCAGATCCAAAGGAAGCAGAAAGCAGTAAGCTAGAGTTATGCTACTCAGAGCATGGGTGCTCTGGCTGTAAGCAAAAGGGCTGCTGAGAATCTTGGGATAGAGAAGTAAGATTTACTGAGGCTAAAATTATAAGCAAAAACCACCTGTGTGGTCACCCACCCTTCTGTTTTGCATGGATGGAGACCTCCAGCCAAGCAATATTCAACCACCAAGCAATCAGCAGGTCACTCAAAAGCCAAAGCATCTTCTTGGTGAGGGAAATACCACTGAGGGCCAATATACTATATCACGGCTAGCCTCAAAGGCAGCAGCCGCACAGCTGCAGGGGAAGCTCCTCTTATATGCAATGAGCCTGGCATTCATTTTAGAAAAGCTCTTGCTCATTTGTTTTCAAAGCCATTCTCTTACAGACGTGACCTGGGATATGGAAGTGCTTGGGCCTGGCAGTGCTGTGTCATAGCTCACTCTACTCCATCCCCTCCTATAGCCCTGCCCACAACCACCCAGAAGATGGCAAAAACATGAGACCCACCAGAGGTGTGACTATAGCAGCTGTTATACTTTATTTCTTTTTTATTAATTTTATTTTTCCTTCTGATTGAAAAATAAAAGACAGAAAAGTTACAAAAGTACTAAAAGGCAACAATATTGGCAGGACATCCCTGTTTCCTGCTCCCACCCAGGGGAAGGCAGCCTGCCACACCAGCGGGCTGGCAGAAACACGTCTCTGGGGCTGAGCTGCCACCCTAGCCCCCTGCATGAAGAATGTGCCTCTTCAGACAGGTACCCAGTTATGGCTGTCCCTTCTGAGCACAGGGATTTGGTCCAGGGGCAACACTTGCCATACTGCACTGGTCAGCTTTATCTGGCAGTGGTTAAAAAGCTGAGGTGCACCATCCAAACAAGAGAAGCAGAGTCTCTACAGGGGCAGCGACAATCAGCAGAGGAATCAGCCTCTGTTGGAAGAGGGGACTTCTGGCAGAGCATGGTGGTTCCCTGCAAGAGGTACCTCACCAGCAAACACAAGCAACCCCTTGGAGCTGGTACTGGTGCAGGGGGTGGGCCCTGCTGTGACAGTCTGGAGCCAAAAAGCAGGCAGAGCTAGGGCAGCATCAGGACAGATGTCCCCTCACTGCCTTGCCCAGCTGCTTTAGCTGCCTGAGTGAGAGACGGTTGGGGAGGGAGATTCAGGGCCCCAAGCCTAGATGGCCTTTGGGCTTTCCCCGAGAGTCTCAATGAAGGGCTCAGAAAGCATCAGTCAATGCTGGTTCACTGTGTGGCCTCCTACTGGCAGCTAGACTGACCATTAGTCTCATCCAAAGAGTGGCATCAAAGACCTCCACACTGGAGCAAATTTAAAAATGAAAATTTTATATTACTCACAGTTGCTCCTCTTGATCCAGAGAAGTAGTAAACTACTCGCTCCCCCTTGCACTCAGCCAGATACAGGCTCAAGGTTGGGAACACCTAGCCAAAGAGGTTACTTTCTCCACCAGGTGCAGCAAGAGAAAATGCCTTGTTCCTCTGACCCACTAAGAGAAGTGAGAGCTTGTTCTCTTAGCTGTTGCCTTTTGGCACAACACATGTATGCCTCAAGGCCAGATCCCAGCCAAACTCCAGTGGTAGCAAGGCCTAGCATGGTCCTAACTGCCTTAGGGCTGCCTATGGAGAAACGTCCCACAGCTTCACCCAAACTCCCTTCCTGCTTCTTCTACCAACAGGTGGCCACAAAACAGAGACCTCTTTCTCCCACTCCATGCCACATCTGGGAGTACTTGTTCCACTGATACAAGGAGACTCTACCTGAATTTAACAGCCAGCATAACAGGGGAGTGGAAAGCTTGCTGGAGACATTACACTTGGTTGAGTTTGGTGATACCAGACACCTTCAGCATCATGTTAGGGCAGCAAGGTATCAGGACAATGCTATGGAGAAGTGCTGCATATCCCAGAACACAGACAGCCTGAGCAGAAAGGAGACCTGAGAGCACAGAGCATTCCTCAAGTTCTTCTCTCTGATAATGCTGAGAGGACTGAGGGTGGGTGCTCGGGTTTTTTTGGATGGCTGAATACAGACCTTCCATTCTAGAATTTTATTCTAACCCCCAACCTACAACTCCTCTTTCAATCCCATTTTAAATAATACCACTGAGTTGCCAGCAGACCAGCTGGAACACATAGCTGGATGTGCCAGTTACCAACTCCCACCTTCCTCTGCTAGGGTCTTCCACTCAAGAGAGCTTGAAGTGAATGCAATTATAACAGTCTAAAGAGAGGGATCTTCTTGCTTTGCAGGCAGCCCTGTATATATCCTCTGTCTCCAATCCTGAGCTCACTCTCCAGAGTGTAGACCCAGCAGTGTAGACAGACTCAGGCACTCTTGGAAAAGTGACTGAACATGGTTTTACACCCTGACCACTCATCCTCGCTGTCATGTAGGCCATACTAGCCCCTGAAACCCTCAGGGATATCTTCCAACTACCACTATTCCCACATTTGATACTGCCTTGGTGGCTGCCTTTGCAGTTTGTGGACCTGACTGGTTGATTTTGCCCTGAAAGACAAAAATCTCTCCCTTAGCCACTATTTGGATATGGCAATGGCATGAAAACAGACACTGCTGCAAAGCCATAAGCTTCCTGCTGCCAGAGAGGCAGTATTGCAAAGATCTGTTATTGTCCTCTTCTCCCATTCATCCCCCTGGTTAATGCCACCTTCCCTTCTTCCTGCCAGGCAGGTGGTTGGTTGATAGTTCCTGAGGTTTTTGGAGAAACTCCTTCAGTAGGCACATGACGGTTCTTCCACTGGAGCTATTGGGCTCAGCGGCTTCAAGGTGCTGAGGGAACGGAAGGCAAAGGTGGATGGATCATACACAAAGTGGGGTGGTGGGCGGCCTCCGTTGATGCTCTGCAGTGGAATAAGAAGAGGGACAAAGTCAGTGCTCGTATGAGCTGCAAACAGTGAAGTTCTTGCCTCAAATGCTTTGTCACATCCCTGTCTGGTACAATTACACCTCCTTGAATGGGTGGTCATGCCTGTACTTGCAGCAAATGGCACAACATAAGCAGTGAAGCGCTTTGCTCACAACACCTCAAGGAAAAAAAAACATGCACACCACCCACCCCACCCTGCTGCAGGACTGAGGTTCCAGGGATCTACATGGCCAGGACCCATAGCACCTGTAGCCACTAAGCGAAACAGGATATCCATGATGCATTTAGAATTCCAGAGTCAGAACAGCATCACTACCAGAAGGTATCACATTGAAAAGCTAAATTCAGATTCACTTGTCCTTGAAGGAGGCTCTGCTACACTTTTAGAGCAGGGAGATAAACCAGGTCATCTCTGAAGACTCATTCTTCAGTCCTATTCTTCAACAGCTCTACAGGAAGGACTTAAAAACCACCCTTTCTTAAACTATAAAAGTCCCAAACACACTGAAACTCTCCAGAGTTTTAGCTCCAGACTCCACAGTTGAATGAGGAATGGCTGAAAGTTGCTCAGAGGAAAAGTTCCCACCTGAAGGCCTTACACATGGCCACCAAACACCATTCTCTCCCCTTTTGCTTCCCAGTGTTCAGAGCATGGTCAGAGCAGATCTGGAGTAAAGAGACCAGAAATACCCATGCACTCCATGACAGGACAGAAATGCTGTTCCCCACTAAGCTGTGCTGGGACCTGTGGATCCCAGAGGAATTACAGTGCCAAAGAAGTGATTCCACTCTGTTAAATAAGAAATGTTTTCCTTTTACCTCTTGAGAACTTTGGTTTGCTTCTTTCCTTATGCAAGCAGAAGCACCAGTGGGGCAGCTGCTTTGCAGACACACTTTTGGCAAGGAGAGGAGGTCTCACCGCTCTAAGGGCCAGCAGAATATTTGATCATGATCCTGCAGAGTTTATTCCCCTAGGCAGGTGTAAGCTAGAGTGTCACACACTGGGAAGTTCAGCAGCTCAGAAACTCGTACAAATGTCCCCTGCCCTCATCTCACTTCCATCACTGTTGGGAAGGGCTTTACCATTGTTTTCATGGAGGTTAGAAAATACCCAGTGAGAGGAGATCTGGCCTGGTCTTTGGTGTTACGTGCCTCCCTGCTGCCTCTTCTATGCCTTTCTTAGCAAGATCCATGGTTTCCTTTGCTCAGCCTGCACTGAGGGACTGTTGAAGAATTAGGCTTTTCGGGAACAACTACTGACACTGCTGTCTCCTCCAAGACAGAGATTCATTTTGACACTTTATAATCAGGTCTATCAGACAGCTGCAATCACATAACGGCACAGCAAGGTGACATTTTGATGTCACCTGCCTCTATCCTGGCTGGGTTTTAACTTATTTTCACAGGACAAGCACACACAACTTTTCCCAGCAAGCTCCTCAAATGCTTTGGCTCACCCAAACAGTCATGCCAAATTGGAGAGCACTACAGAAGAGTCCAAGCCAGGCCCTGGGTGCTGCAGTCACTGTAGCAGGATCTGGAAGCCTCTGCCTCTAGGATCTTGGTCACAGCTCAGTCCCATGGGGCAGCCTTCATGTCAGAAAGGGCCTCTTTGAAAGCCAGTTTGGGCAGCATGTTCCTGCCTAGTTGGTACCTCCTCGGCAAATTAAGATGGGTACTTGAGAATGGGAAATGCCAACATGGTGCTTGGCATCAGCTGTGCCTGGAGTTTCAGCCAGCATATCATGCCCTGCTGCATCCCCCTGACACCTTGGCCAGCAGCATAAGAAACAAGAGAGGCAGATTTAAGGGCCTTTACTCAATAGCCACCTGCTGTGGGGTTATAGATGGTGTGTGCTCTGGCAAGCCTCAGAGCTGAAGGGTAACATAGCAACCCCTATTCAAAGCTAAGGGGCAGAATAAATCAGCACATTTGTCCTTCTCCAGAGCAGAGAAGGTCCGCTGCCAGTGCCAAGAGGGAATGGGAACAAAGAACCTGGCAGTCCCCTCCATTTTGAAATGCCAGACAGGATTAGGGAAGGCAGCTGAATCAGTTCATTTCTGGCAAATGGCAGATGGAGAAGAGCCTGGAGAAAGATGGGTCCAGAGGACAAACAAAAGTCATCCACAAAACTCACTAGGCTTTGGGTGGGAAGGCACCCTGGGGTTTCTTTCTGGGCCAGTAAGCCTTCCCGGGGCACCACGAGTGAGATGGGCACAGAACGGGCTGAAGTGAAGGACAGGGATGTGAGAAGACACAGGAGGATGCAGAGATCCACGGGTGGTCAGGCAGCTGCAAGTAAGGGACAAACTGCACCCAATCCTGCTTCTTCATCATGGCACCTCTCAAGCAGCCGCAAGATGATGGGTAGCTTTCAATAGCACAACCACCACAACAGCAGACAAGGGCAGGGTGAGAAGAGCCCTGTGTCCAACTGTAGGCAGTAACAGGAAAGGCAGTACAGCAACTATCCTCATTCACCTACACCATGACAGACAGAGCAGCACCTCTGTTAGGGACCTTGTTGGAGGGAAGAAAGCACCAGCACTAAATCACTCCACTCTCTTCTTGCAGAAAAGCATGTTTTCTTCAGAGCTCGTATCCTGCTCCAGGGGTGACCAGGCCTGATCTGGCTTAGTCCACACCACCATTTGGGATCCCAGCATGTGGTGGTCTGGCTCTGATGAGCAGCACAAGGCAGAGCTCTGTAGATGTATTCCCAGAAAGAAGACAGATAGAGCCAGCTGCCAGAGAGGGGAACACATTCCACTCACCCTATTGCTTGGGCCAGCTGCTTCCCTGTAGTCTGAACAAGCATCCCAGCCAGCCTGCCCTTCTTCCCCTTGGGTGCCCAACACCAGCCTGTGATTCCTGGGATGGGGTTTTGACTACTGAGGGGTGTTACGAGCTGCAGCAGGCCTCCAGGGAGCTTGCCATAAACCTGCCTGACAGCACCCACTGAGCAACCCCAGACCAGCTCCTGCCAAAGCTCCTCAGAGCACAAACACTCCACGCTTGACATTAAAGGCCAGTGTGTTCACTCTAATGGCATTCGGGCAGCTGGGTAACTCGCATAAAATGGAGCCTAATATGGGCCCTGTGCTAATGGCAATCATTAACCAGAGCTCTCAATTTGTTAAGCAATGTATTTACACAGCTGGAGAACAGCCTAAGATACAAGCACTCAGCTGCCAGTGGGAGGGCACACAGGCTCAGGCGCAAGCTCTGCCACACACACCCATGCTCACTCGCTCACTCTCACCTGCTTTCACCCACCTCAGGCTCTTCCCTGGTCACTTGCTCACAACCCTCTGAGCACACACAGACCTCCTCTTCTCCTGGGTTGGAAATCACAAGGTGAGCTGTCCGCCCTCATACAAATCTTATCTGCTCATACCATAACTCAAGCCAAGCAGGGCCCAACCTCTACCAGCATCTAGGGGACAGTCCAAGGGAGCACAGCTCATCACTTGCTCTTACAACTGCCTAGAGTAGAAGGTAGTTTCAGTACCTAGACACCCATGCTGCCTCATTGCTTGCTTCACTTGAGGTAGATGAACTTCTAAGGGAACTGGCTTGTGTTACTCACATTTCAAGCAATGAGGCAGTCTGTGCATAGGTCACACGTGCTTGTCAGCATGCACCCAGACACTTCTTCCTACATATATGCACACCTACATATACTCTTGGAAGCCTGTACTGTAGTCATCAATTGCATTATCACCATTAAATACAAGTAGTAAATAAGCAACCAGGCTTGAACAGTATCTCAAGCACATTAAGAAAGAAGCACACCTAAAGATGGTACAGATAGACTGTATGCAGGTGCCCCAAAGACAACCAGTGAGATTAAACACCACAGAAAAAATGCAGAATTTCAATCATATTAGGACCTCTCAGAAATCAGAAAAATGGACAACTGCTTCACAAATCCATCTGCAACATAATTGTACATTTCAGCAAGGAAAAAGTATATAGGAAGAAGAAACAGGTAAAGGCTAAGTCTACTAATACAAACCCACATTCCTCCTAGAAACCTATCCCTTACCGCTATGAAGTCTGAGAAAATAAGCCAAATTCAGATTATGAAATAACTTAATTTTGAACTCATGATCCCACAGAAGGGCAGTTTTCTTCAGACAAAGCAAAAGCAAGCACAGCTCCAAGTGTGCTCTCAGCTGTGGGAATGACAATCCCCGTAGGAGGAGGGAAATGGAGTTACCTAACACAAAAATGTCATGGAAGGGAGTGGTGTGCTAGGGGTGATACAAAACGAAGCCCTGCTTAATACTCTTTGGTCTTCTTTCATAAGAGCTCTACTATCCTGGTGGGATACAAAATCCAATCAGTTTATGCACTCTGCCAACCCGTTCCCTGCTCAGGACCAATCCAGCACAGGAGTCCCTTCTTTCCTACCCTTGGGCCCTGGCAGTTGAGAAACGCTGCCTTCCATAGGTGGATGCCTCTCAGTGGTGGGTGAATGATCGCTTTGCAGTCTGTAGACTCACTTGTTAGAGTGCTTTGGGATGAAAAGCACCATGTAATTGCAAGTTGTAAAGGCGCATCCGATTCCCACCACCACCCTGTGTGAAAAGGAATAAATCCCCAGAAGAGCCTTGGCAAAGACGGACGCCTGCCCGCAACGCTGCCTGTTTGCAAGACAGCTGCCCTGCCCAGGAGGGGCCAGAGCCAGAGGTAGTACCAATATTCAGCCAGGGCACAGAGAAAGTAAAGGCTGTCAGACTCCCTAGTGGAGCATTTACAGGTACAGTGCTTTTAATTTCACTTTGTCCTCCTTCTTCTGACACCTGGCAGGTGGTTAGAAAAGAAACTGATGACACTTCAACTTTGATGTGTGAAACCATCAGCTGCAAGCAAGGGAATGGGACCCTTGTGCCTGCTCCCAGCTACATCTGTAATCCAGGATATGGTCAAGCCACTTTGTATCATCTGTGCCTCAGTTTCTCCAGTGT